GCCAGAGGTGTTTCCTGGGTGAAGTTGCATTGTGCAGTGGGAGAATGCCTTTGTCTGCCCACCATTTGTAGCTGTGTGACTTTGGGGATGTTCTTTAATTTCTCTAATCCTTGTTTTTAAAAAACATATTTACAATGAGGATAATCATAACAACTTTCAAGGTATTGTGGGGATTGGACTTCATGTAGGTGAAATGCCTGGTACAATCAGTGCCTGGTAGATAGCATATACTCAGTAAGTATCAAGCTGTTGTTATAAACATGATTTGAGCAAATGGAAGAGGAAAGGGAGAATACCTTTAGTAGAAGCTCAGAGGAAATGATCAGTATGAAATGTTTTTGAAATATATTTGTTGTTTTTCTGCTCTATTACATAAAGTTTTCTAAAGTGTCATATGAATATGGAATCACAATAATAAGACATGGTACAGTATCATAATACTCCTTAGATTCAGTTATTTGCTCAGTTTCACCAGATCTGGTTCACTTATTTGTTATTTAATCATTTATTGAGCATACATGATAGAGAAAGCTCTTTGCTAAGCACTATAAGGTGTATTAAGATGAACAAGATACAGTATTTGTTATTAGAAGAATTTGTATGTGGAGGTTGGGCTCCAGCATCCAGTTATGGTAAGCAAGGAAGGAATGTGAGGATTGGGAGACAGTGGCATGAGTAGATGGTGCTGATTATGGACTAAGCCAGCCTGAAATCCTGACTTAGGACCTGGACAGTTCCCAGGCCTACCAGGGGCCTGGCTACTGGTTTCCTGGTTCTAGAAACAGGGGGAAAGACCTTTTCACATCCTGTACTTGAGTTTTGGATAATGGTGACAGTGAAGAAGCACTTTCTTTAGGTTGATCCTGCAGCATCTTGGAGAGGACCACCTGGTGAGAATTTGATGTGAAGATCTCTTGTTGCCCTTTCTTATGTTGCATATTTTTTGTGGCAGGTATGTGCTTTCAGTGATTTGTGTGTGTGTGTGTGTGTGTGTGTGTGTGTGTTTGAAAGTGGAACTAATGTCTGATTTGTTATTGGGCTATCTCAGTGTTAGTAACTTCACTTGTCCCTGGTGCTATTCAGTCTAGCCTGCTTCTAAAATGCATAAGTAAATCTTTTTGTGAACTGGATTTCCTTGGTGCTTTTATGTTTTAATCCACATTACACCCCAGTCCCCTCACCCTTAACCTTACATAGATGTAAGTTGCTTCACAGTGCTCCCCAAACTCAAAGGATTTGTTTGAATAGTGACCATACTCCAAGTAACTGGGTACTGGAGTTTTTTCCTAACTAGAAAATCAAGTCTTTACTTCTCAACCATAAACTTCCAGAAGTAGATTGAATAGGAATTTTTATGATTGAAACGAATATTATTATAATGTAATAAAACTTACATTTTTCACTAAAATAACAAAAATATAGCAAGTTTAGATCCAAAGAAACAATGCTTTTTTTCCAGCAGTCACATTAAGTGGAGCTTTTTTGCATGCCTCTTTTGGAGTGGCATTAGAGCTGCTTTACCAGCAACATAGGATCCCCGTCTTGTGACTGGATAGTTTTGTTCACTACTTTTCTCCCACATTTTCACTTCTTAAGATCTCCTCCATTTAGCTTCTTCTCATCCTGCCCTCAGCCCTTTACTGTTTCTTTGCCATTGTGACCTGGGAGGATGGTAAGGAAGGGGCCTTCCAAGAACCCTTGAAAACCAGGAGACTCTGTCGTCCAGAACCAGAATGAGGGTTATTCTGAACCTAAGAGGAAGCAGTTAACCACATACTGCACATGGCACACTTATTCCTGTCCCTTTCAGAGTAATGGGGTTGGTGATGGATTGAAAAGCCACCCACCACAGGGATCAGAAGCACCAGCCATTTCCCACACCAGCATCCTGCAAGTCAGGGACCAGCTGTGCAGGTCCTTTGTGTGCTCCTGTCAGGAGGGCCCTGTTACCAGGCACCCCCTCCCCACTTCCTGCTACTTCTGTGGAGAAGGCATTCCTCAATGTTCTTTTGTATATCAGCTACATTATTACTTAGCAGGGACATTTGGGGAAATTGATACAAAAGAAGGAAATTCTGATAGTAAACTGGGATTTCTGCACCTTGAAAGCAAAGGTTTGTCCATCTTTTCACAGATGCCGGTTCCTTATCTTCATGGCTTCTAAGTGACTTCCTTCACTAGAGGAATTCAAGCTAAGGTTTTGCATTATTGAATCTTACTGAAGGAAGAACCAGGGACTTTTCAGTGATAGGATTCTAAAGAGGCATAAGCTGGTAGAGGGCAATGAATAATCAAACCCTGGCAGCACCAAGATTAGGAAGGAAGGGGAATCAGTGGAGCTATGAGATTACAATTAGAAACAAATGACATCATCTACCAAGACCTTGGAAAGTACTGTACATATGGAGCAGAATTTTAAATAATTAAAATGATTAAATTTGGCAGCACATCTTTAACTTGGAGAGAAAAGAAAAGGCAAAAAAATATCAAAAGCTCCTTTGGGAATTTATGGATATAAACAAATGATAAGGAAAACTTTCAGAGTTGAAAAGTTTTTGTTATTTGCTAGAAAATAAGCAGTTGTAAGCCTCATTTGGGATATAAATTCATGTTATGGGCTGCCTCCTCTCTGATCATCAACAAAGAAAATAAATCATGGGAGGTCATGAGTGACACACTGTTATTGATGTTCCAGAAAAGCTGCAGGTAGGCACTGCTGCCCTGGCTGGAAGCCTCCAGTGTGCTGGGTGGTAACAGGCTATCCTGTTTGTACTAGAGAGAAAGGGATGAGAAAATGGGAAAGAAAAGCAGTTTAAGGCATTGGCACAGCTGTAAATATATGGGGTTTAACTGAATTAACAGGAGGTAAGTTAAACCCAGCAGCATATCTGCCTCTGTGGGTCATCCCTGCTCCCTCCCTCCTCTGCTTAATCTCTCTGCATAGCCCCATTGTCAACCACCAGATGTCATCCTTGTCTGCCTCTTGTCTTTGTGCTTTGCCTAGAGTAATCTTATCCTTTAGTATAATATCTTCAGGTTCATCTACTTCTCTCAGCTACCTTCCCTCCCACTTGGATTATGGCCACAGTTTCCTCGATAACCTGCCCTCCAGTCTTGTCCTTTGGTTCATTTCCCTCCACATGCAACCATGATGGTTTTTCTTAAGTGTATTTGATCATGTCACTCCACTCCTTCAATAATCCCCTGGTGCCCTTGAGATAAAATCCCAACCCTTCCCTGAAATTTTTCTCACCACTTCCTCTCTTATATATTCTACAGTATGTCTTAAAGGCCTGGTTTGATCTCTTTCTCTCAACTTTCTGTCTTTGTATACTGGTTCTTCTGCCGAAATCAGTGGTCGCCAACCTTTCAGACCTCATGGACCTCCTCTGCTGACCACTGGTTGGAGACCGCTGGCCTAAATACCTTTCCTTGCCTCCCCTTTAGCTTGGCTAACTAACATGTTCTTACAGCAAGTCTTAGCTTTCTCCTTGGTTCTCCCATAGCATTTGTTTGTGCTGGCTGACTTGTCTGCTTCACACTCCAACCCAGACTTGAAACATGGATGGTCACAGGGCCATATACTATTGCATTTCCTGTGCAGAATGCCTGCATGAGTTGATTCACAATAAAAACTTGTTGACTGTTGAATTAAGTCATGATAGGGGACTCAAATGTCTCTTTACTGGTTTTCAGGGTGTCATACTTTTTAGTTGTATACAATTGCAGATTTGATCAATATTGCCTATACTTATTAAAAGACCTGGTTATTTCCCTGGTATTAAAATATCAATGATCCAAGAGATTCTTTCTTTTTGAATTACTCTATATTTGAGTTAATGGTTGAGCCTTGCCAGTTTTTCTTTTTCCTTTCCTTAAGTTGTTGAGAAGAGCTACTTCAGTTGATCATTCTTTTCTGTTTTTCTCATTATTTGGCTTATTTGTCAAATATTGTTGAACATTTGAACCTTGTATACATGGTCCCTGCCCTAAGGTGGTACTGACTCCGGTGGATGAGGACCAACTCAGCCTTTATGTGGGACCCACAAATCCCACTGGCAACTAGGTTATCCTTGGTCTATTATGGAATTCTAAATTGTTATATAACTTACTAATAAGTCTATACAGACCCTTGGAAATTGTTCTAAGGCAGCGATTATAAAACCAAATGCCCATAGGGGTAGGAATGTCCGAAATGAGGAGCAACACCTGATGAGTGTCAGGGAAGTGAGAGGGGCAACCACTAGGGACTGGAACCTTAGGGTCTACCTGCAGGGGCTGGCAGCTGCTGCATTCCTGCAGATTATGGCCATTGGGGTGGGGGCTTGGTGCTGCCAAATGATCTGATTTCTCTAAAGAAACTGGAAATATGGATTTTTTTTCTTTGTAGTATGTTTGAAAGTGTAAAAATTATATACATTGCCTTAAATTTAAAAAAATGTAGGGATCAAACAAAACATGTCCATGTCCCAGATTATGCCCACAGAAGGCCAATTCGCAGTCTTTGCTCTAAAGGATGTTTTGCTTTTTTTCAGAAATTAACACTATTAATAAAGGAGAGTGTATGGGTGCTAATGTGTCTTAAAGCTGGCTGGGGTTTTGTTTTTTTCTTTTAATCACCTTTAACAAGGAAATATTACTCAACTGTAGAGTTTAGATGAGTTAGTTATAGCACATGATTCTTTAATCGCATGTTATAACGTCTTGTTATTTTGTAGTAGCTCAGGTACAGAGCATACTTTTAAAAAGACAGTGGAGTTTTAGGCTAATATGGTAGATCTCCAGCCAAGTGCCTAATTTTGATGTATGACTTTCTCAAATTTCTAAATAAAAGTGTTCTCAATTGAACCTAGAAGAATCTATAAACACAATAACTGTAGGATTTTTTCCAGAATCCTTGACCATATTAGCAATTTAAGGTTGAAAAAATTGAAAATTAATCTTGACTCTACTTAGTTATTGGATGGATATTCATGTATTTTCTTTTTCTTTCTTTAAAGATTTGAACATGGAATTCAATCCTTCAGACCATCCTCGAGCCAGCACAATATTTCTCAGTAAATCTCAGACAGACGGTAGGTCGCTAATTTATGTTTTTTCTTTCAAAAAAAGCAAGGCCCATGTTAATAACTAGCGTATTCATTTTTCACTAGAATCCTTTTTAATGACCCCCCCCCAAATATATTGTTTGATGGTAGTTCTCTTGGGGTTTCTTTCTGTTGTCTTAACTTATGTTTTTAGAATTTTCTATTTGAAGCAATGTTGTCAGTCAGCTGTGTACATTCTGTGTCAGTAGTTTTCTATTCTGAGAGTCATAAATTTTTCTTTAAGAATTGATATTGGCATAAATTCTCTAAAGATCAGAAGCATTGGTTTATTAGATGGGATGTAAAAGAAAAATTTACACAGTTGTCCCAGGTGTGTGTGTAATTTCTCCTGAGGTTTTTTTTTTTCCTTCTCTTTCTAGTACCAGCTCATCTCACTTTTCCCTGACCCTTAGCTACAAAGGAGAGATAAAACTTATACCATACAGTGAACATAAATCTTCTCATTTGGATTCCTATAGAAAAGAATAACAGGAGAAAGGTGTTACATGATGATATTGTGAGCAGGATGATATATTACAACTAGAGGCCTGATGCACGAAATTCATGCAAGGGGCTCGGCCCTCATAGCCGTGGCGGCTTGCTGGCTTCGTCTGGAAAGTTGTTCGGCTGTTTGGTCTAATTAGCATATTATGCTTTTATTATTATAGATGCTAGAGTCCTGTGTGATTCTATCCCTGACTTGGCAGATTGCTAAGCTCTCATTTAGAGAAAATCCTCAATTGACTAAAAATACTTTAACACAGCAATTCTCAACCTGTGGGTCGCGACCCCTTTGGTGGTCAAACGACCCTTTCACAGGGGTCGCCTAAGACCATCCTGCATATCAGATATTTACATTACGATTCATAACAGTAGCAACATCACAGTTATGAAGTAGCAACAAAAATAATTTTATGGTTGCGTCACAACATGAGGAACTGTATTTAAAGGGCCAGAAGGTTGAGAACCACTGCTTTAACATTTAAGACAGTAAGTTCATTATAGGAATTGATAACTCCTCAATAATGATTAGGTAATACTTTTGATATGGTATAATGCTGATATAATATTGGTGATCTTTAGTTAAGCAGACCACTGACTTGATTTGAGACAACTAGGTGTATTATTTTTTTAAAAAATCAATGTTTTTAAGAGTAAGAATAAATCATTGTACACTTTAAATACTTGTGAAGCTTTGAATGTATTGTGGGGGATAAAAGCAAAACTTTGTTTTCTTGACCTGGTGAAGTTGGAAGCCATTGAAAGAAGGGTAGGATATGGCAAGAGAAGGAAAGTGACGGTGGGGATGAAGGCTTGGGACGATGAAAAACGAGAATTAACATTTTTTGCACTTAATATTAGTGCTGTGAAAACCAGCTACAGGATAGACATACTTCTGGGTTTGGTTCTTCCAGTGAATTCAGGGTGCAAACCAACATCATTCTGAAATTTTTCTGATTAGATTTACATGAAATTGCATTAGGGCTTCTAAGTTGGTAACACATGCCTTTACCATCATGGTAAAAGGAAATTCAGCAATTACCTGACCTAACAGAAGGATTGTTCCAAAAGGAAGGAGTTAGGGAAGTATATATTTTCCCCCTTCACATCTACAGCAGATCTCGACATTCCCCTCCTTTTTTTCTGGAACACAAGGTATCAGTTCCTCTCACCTTTCTGTTCATTGCTTCAGTTTTTCTTTAAATGCTGGAGCTTTCCATTCAACATGTAAACTGACTTGAGTCTCACAGGTTAAACACAAGAAAATGAACAATAACCAACACCTTCTTCCTGAAGTATTCCTCTCTACTCTTCTGCTTAGTGAAAGCTTCTATACCATCTCTACTTTTTCTCTTTCCATTCAGTAATCCACAGGAATCTTCTTTTCACAGTCACTATTCTATGGAGAGTATGTTCTAAGGTTGCCTAAAAGACCTTTTGCTTCCTTAAGCTCTTCAATGCTCATGGCACTTGCTGCCATTGGCTATTTCTTCTCCTTTGGCTTCCTATTATCAAACAGGCCAATTGCTGAAAACAAGTCCATCTAACAATTGCTTTAAGTTTTAAAATAGGTAAATTTGTTAACTTTAGTGGTTTAATTCTTTGGTGAATTAATTGATTACTAGAGAATTGACTATTTGGGAAATTTGTCCTGAGAACTCCTTTTCTTAAAAAAAATAAAAAATGGTTGACACTCTTACAAATGTCCCCTATTTCCCTGTCCTTTACCAACTCTACCCAGATACCACCCCCCTACTCCCCAGTCTTCACCATCTATATATATAAAGAGGTAATATGCAAAATGTCTGGGACACTGTAATGTCACAACCGCTCAGGAGGAGGCTGCGCGTGCAGGTGGGTGGGAGAAGACTGTGTGTGAGGTGAGGCAAGCCACGGATGGCGCAGGCCCGGAGACAGGAGGGCCTGCCAGCCGCGGCGCGCCAGCAGTCCCACCTCTGCTCATGAGCTGCAGAGGAAACACCTTTTCAGACCGCTCATTGGCTAAGCTCCCGGTACACCATTTGCAGTGTACTTGGTAATTTCGGTAATAAGAATCTAAGAAGGTAATCTAGGGTTTTTCCACCTCACTCCTGGAGGAAAAAACAAAGGTCTGCTGCTGGAGGGGCTAAGAAATGTCATATCCTGCCCTAGTCGGTTTGGCTCAGTGGATAGAGCCTCAGCCTGCGGACCGCAGGATCTGGGTTCAATTCTGATCAAGGGCATGTACCTAGGTTGCAGGCTCCTCCCTGGCCGGGGCCCAGGTCAGGGCTCATGCAGGAGGCAACCAATTGAAGTGTCCCTCTTACATTGATGTTTCTCTCTGTCTTTCTTCCACGCTTTCTAAAAATCAATGGAAAAATATCCTCAGGTGGGGATAAAAAAAAAAAAAGAAAAGAAAAAGAAATGTCATATCCTATGAAAGAGACATCTTGAAAATGCCTAAAGAAAGTTGTCATGTTTTTGTGATGAAGGGACTGGAGTCCGTGTTGATGAAAACACCTTGGAGGTTGTGGCGGCTGGCAGTGACAGCAGCAGCGGGGTGATGGGGGTGGCTCCTTCTACTGATCAGCCCGGTCGCCTCCCATGGGGAGTGGGTCTAAGCTGTCAGTAGGACATCCCCTGAGGGCTCCCGGACTGTGAGAGGGGGCAGGCTGAGCTGACGGGGACCCCTCGCGCCCCCCCCCCCCCCAGTGCACGAATTTTGTGCACTGGGCCTCTAGTATTATTATCTGTGTCCATGGACTATTCTGCATATCTGCATATCTGTTCTTTGGCTAATCTCTTCTAGTCCCACCACCATCACACTCCTCTCTGAGGTCTGTCAGTCTGTTCCATGTATCCATGCTCTGGTTCTATTTTGTTCATTAGATTCCACATATAAGTGAAATCAAATGGCATTTGTCTTTCTTTGATTGGCTTTTTTCACTTCCCACTAGAGGCCCGGTGCACAAAAATTTGTGCACTGGGGGGGGGGGGGGTCCCTCAGCCCGGCCCATGCCCTATTGCAGTCTGGGACCCCTCGGAGGATGTCTACCTGCTGGCTTAGGCCTGCTCCCTGGGGGATCGGGCCCAAGCTGGCAGTCAGACATCCCTCTGGCAGCCCGACAGCCCTTGGGGGATGTCCACTTGCCAGCGGGGAGCAGGCCTAAGCTGCAGTCGGACATCCTTAGCACTGCTGAGGAGGCGGGAGAGGCTCCCACCACCACCACTGTACTGGCAGCCATCAGCCTGGCTTGTGGCTGAGCAGAGCTCCCCCTGTGGGAGGGCACTGACCACCAAGGGGAAGCTCCTGCATTGAGCGTCTGCCCCCTGGTGGTCAGTGTGTGTCATAGTGACCAGTCATTCCCAATCGTTCTGCTGTTAGGGTCAGTTTGCATATTACCCTTTTATTATATAGGATAGAGGCCTGGTGCACAGGTGGGGGCCGACTGGTTTGCCCTGAAGGGTGGCCTGGATCAGGGTGGGGGTCCTGCTGGGGTGCCTGGCCAGCCTGGGTGAGGGGCTGATGGCTGTTTTCAGACTGACCAAAGCCCCCTGGCGACTGAAGCTCCCAGCCTTTCCTTTTTTTTTTTTTTTTTATTCGCTCCAGCTCCGTGGCAATGGCGACTGGAAGCAGGTACAGTGGGGCCTTAACTTACGAGTTTCCCAACTAACGAGTTTTTCGAGATATGAGCCGTCTCTTGGCCGATTTTTTGCTTTGCGAGCTAAAATTGGGGTTACGAGCCAGCTTCAGATACCCCACCGCTAGGTGGTGCAGCGAATGTCACAGTGAACACCACAACATCAGCCCAGCATCACGTGTCTCACTCGTTCACTTTTTGATTTGACAAACGAGTAATTTGAGTTACGAGCTCCATCACGGAACTAATTAAACTCCTAAGTCAAGGCCCCACTGTATCTGGGGTTTATTTACCTTCTATATTCTTCCATCGCAGGGGCAAGCAAGTCTCCTGCTTGCTCCAGCTCCGTGGCCACGGCCTGCTGAAAGCAGGTATCTGGGGTTTATTTACCTTCTATCATTGAAACTTTGTTGCTTTTTGAGTGGAGCTCAGAGCCGGCGGCAGGCTGGCTTCCTTCATCACTGGAGCAAGCAAGCCTCCTGCTCCCTCCTGCTCCATGGCCACGGCCTGCTGAAAGCAGGTATCTGGGGTTTATTTACCTTCTATAATTGAAACTTCGTTGCTTTTTGAGTGGAGCTCAGAGCCGGCGGCAGGCTGGCTTCCTTCATCACTGGAGCAAGCAAGCCTCCTGCTCCCTCCTGCTCCGTGGCCACGGCCTGCTGAAAGCAGGTATCTGGGGTTTATTTACCTTCTATAATTGAAACTTTGTAGCCTTGAGAGGAGCTTAGAGCCGGCCAGGGAGGGCGGGAGGTAAGCCTCCTGCTCGCTCCAGCTCCGTGGCCACGGCCCACTGAAAGCAGGTATCTGGGGTTTATTTACCTTCTATAATTGAAACTTTGTTGCTTTGAGTGTAGCTTAGAGCCAGCC